AAAAAGAAAAAGACTGATCTTTGCTAGCAGATAGTAAACCACAGAATACTTGGTAGACAGAACTGAATTGGGAAGGTTTATGTGTGAATTTAGTGTTGGATGTTTGCTTTTCGACAGTTTGAGTTATTGACATGTAAATATTTTCTCAAAAATATTTAAAACCGTACTCTGTTGTGATAGAGCCACCAATAAAATTATAACAAATATTTGGAAAGTTATTTTTAAAATTCAGTTTTTGAAAATTTGAAAGTTGTTTATTAACTGTCAAGAACTATAGAATATGAGCAAAAATTTTTTGATATGTAAAGTAAATGTGGCAAAATGTAAAAAAAAAATCTCTACAGAGGTTCAGCGTCTTTACAGCATGGCTATAATGACTCCATGTGTAAATGCAGATGGTGAGAACAGTGTCTCTGGTAGTGATTTACCTATGTGAGCCCTAGTAATAATGTTCTATCTTACAAACACCTTGTAGATATATTTCTGTATTCATGGCTATAGAAGCAACAGCCATGAATCATTGTGCTATCTGAAGATGGTAGAACTTTTAAAGTTGTATTATGCAAAACTTTAATATTTTAAGTATTTTCAAAAGGAACTGAAGCAGAGACAACCTGCCGAGACCTGCCCTCGACTGGATGGGTTTTTCTGAGTGGAGGGGCTATGGGTTAGAAAAGAAACACAACAGCAAACACACAAAGACTCACAAATATAGAAAAGTGAGGATCAGGTAGGCCTGACTTCTCTGATGGAGAAAGTGGGTACCTGGAACCAGCCTCTGGTTTATTATTTTATAGGGCAGAAAATAGAAGAAGAGGACATGGAATGAAAAGTCAGTTGTTTTCAGATGTTAACTGGCTGATGATGTGAAACCGACTGGCACCATTTGGTTTATTCTGATTCTTTTCAGCGAAATCTGAATAACACACGTGGCTTTCTTAGGTAGATACTGCTTTGCAGTATCAGGAGTTAGCATGTTTGTATTTTAATGCTTTCATAGCTATGCAAATGAAACTGATGAACAGTGTTTCTGCTTATGTTTAAAGGTCACCCTGTTTGTTCAGTGTCTGTTCTCCAAAACAACCTTATAGCACTTTGGAGAAATCCTGTTAGAGTTTTCCTACTATAGGTCTGAAATGAAATACTAACTGCTCATCACTACGTGGGCAAGCTGAAGCCACACATCCACACAGGACTGGGAGCTGAAGGGACTGGGATCCTAATGAAGGTGATGACATGAGCCCTTGAAAGGCCTGGTAAGGTAATGTCTACCAGGAAGATTGCTGACAAAAACCAGTTAGCTGAGCTGGGGGTAGGGGATGCATTCATTCAGCTTAGAACATAGTAGGTTAGTGAATTTGCTTCATTAAGTTCTGCCAAGAATGTTGTAATAAAGCACTTGGGTGAGAAGTGAAAACCTTCAACAATAGAAATAAATACGTATAGAGAAAGAGTTGGAGTGCTTTGCAGCTAATCTGAGTAGATCCCAGCCCACTTATCACAGATTTTTATTAGGGTCTTGGTAAATGTTTGCCACATGTTGGCTTACTTCATCCTTCCTTCCCCAGAAGGCAGCACTGGGGAAACCCACTGTAGAGATAGGGAAATAGAAGCTAGAAAACATTCGCAGAGGTACACAGCTAGTAGGGGAGCTTGAACTGAAATCTTGGGGTGTCAGCTGCAGCACCATCATGTTTCCACAATCATGTGCTCCTTTCCTCTGTGTTCTCGCAGGGAACTCAAAGCATTTTTGGGGTAAGCCTTCATCTTTGAATACCTGAATTAACTTTGACTGGTTAATTGGATAAGTATTTTCTAAAGAACATTGGACCACCTTTTTTCCTAAGACAATGTATAGAAATTAACATAATATATATTTTTCTTTCTTTTAAATTTTCCCAAATTGACAGCAATTTTGGTTCTATGCTATAATTTAATAATATTCCCAGGACTTAACTCTGCCCATAAACTAGATGACCTCAGAGTTTTAGATGATTAAAAACATTTGTGATACCACTTTTTAGTTTTTGGTTTCCTTTTTAAATTTAATGTCATGTGACATTTCTCATGGATGCCACTTTTTCCTCCTTCAGTAAGTTACTAATTTCAACTTCAGATTTGGAAATAAAATGATTGATATTTTTCTTTGCATTAGTTGGGATTCTCTTAATCCCATATGATAGGAACTTAACTACAGGTAGCTCAGCAAAGGGGGAAATCGTTTGTCCTATAACAGGAAGTCTAGAGGAGAGCAACTGCATTTCATATTGTGTTAGTTCCTCTTGGTTCTGGTCTGCTTTCAGATTCACTTCCCTAGGGAATATCAACAATATCATCTCAGGTGGGCAGTAACAAGCCTGGCTTAGAGCAATGGGATCTTGCAAAGAGGGAAGGGAAGGGTCTCTAAGCCCAGTCAAAGGCAAAATTCTCTCCCTGTCAGGACCTTGCTAGATCCCAGATCAGGTTCTACTCTCAGAGTAACAAAACTAAAACATTCAGGTATTTCTTAGATGCAGAATTCTAGGAAGTTATCTTCCTATATTATAGGAGAGGGGGCAGCAATTATGAAATTTAAAGTAAGGATGAGGAGCTACTTGACCTTTGGGTTCTTCCAGGAGGATGTCCTTTCCTTGGAGGTGAGAGTGTTCTTTGATGAGATGGCAGGACTGGGACCCTGATGACTGAGAGGCTATTAGATAGAAGACAGGGTATAATGATCCTCCTTTTGTATTTTGTAGTCACAATTATGGGCAGGGGAGCAGAACACAGGAGTGGATATCTGCAGAGAGCTCAAGCAAGAGGGCAGGGTTGGTTTTCCTAAGGAAGAGAAGCTGGTAAACAGAAATGGCACATCTATTTGCTATTTACATATTTTATCTGAATGTTTGTATAATTCACCCCAAAAATATATGTTGAAATCCTAGCCCCCAAGTGATGGGATTAGGAAGTGAGGGCTTTGGAATGTGGTATGGTTTGGGTGTACTCCGAAAGTCATGTGCTGAGATTTGATTGCAATGGAATTAAAAGCGTGAACAATTGATCCAATTACTGTCCTGAAGGGTAGAGCTTTTGGTAAGAGATTAGTGATTGGGTGGTCAGGGCAGGGCCCCCATTATGGAGTCCTGGCTGGCTTATAAGGAGAGGAAACAAGACAGGCAGGGCACACATGGAACACAGACCATGTTCTCCTACCTTCCACCATGCTGTGATGCACCAAGAAGTATCTCACCAGAGAAGGCCCTTGGACCTCCATACCATCTCTATTTTTATAAATCACTCAGTTTCAGGAATTTTTAAAAAGAATTATTTAGTTGAATGAATGAATGAATTTATCATTTTAATTCACCAGAGAGAGATAGAAAGAGGGGAAGTGGGAAAGCAAGTCACCAGGTCCAGGACTTAAGCCACAGTTGGTCATGTGGGAGTTCAGCGCCTTAACCACCACACCACCTGCTGGCCCCCAAATATTTTTTAGTTATTATTTGCCACAAAACAGACTAGAATAGAAAGTGATTGGGCATTGAGGTAAGGTTCTCATGAATGAGATCAGTGCTGTTATACAAGAGGCTCCACTTTGCTATCTTGCCCCTTGTGCTGTGTGAGGACTCAGTGAGAAGGTGCCCTCTGTGGATCAGGAAGCAGGGACTTACCAGACCTAGACACTGAATTTGCTAGTATCTTGCTCTTGGACTTAACAGCCTCCTGAACAAGGAGAAATAAGTCCTGTAGTTCACAAGCTAGCTAGTCTGTGGCACTGTGTTATAGCAACTGGAGTGTACATAGGCATCATTCAAAAAGACATTTGCTAAATTAAATGTTAGGTCATCAGAATACAAAGGAAAATAAAGCAGAAATGAAAACATGTAGTCCCTGATTAAGAATCCGAAGGACTCTCAGATGAATAGTTGATGACTTTTACCCTGTGTCTTCCTAATATTAATATTTAATTTGTGCATTCATAGCCTTTCTTTGCTGATTATTTATTATGTTGCTAATCAACCTTATGCTAAAATATGACATTTTTTAAGGCTCCCAGTTACTTCTCATGCATTCTCTCTTCTTATTTTTACAAACAACTAATAAGATATTATTAGACATGTTTTATAGACAGGGAAACAGCACCAATGAGGTTGACCAGCTGACTGGAGCTCACAAATCTCTTTGTTCTGAACTGTGGTCTGAATGTAGATCACTGGATTTTTAGACTAGAGATATTCCCATGATCTCTAATCTGAATCATGCCAGGTTACAGCCCATAATCATGCCAGGTGTGTGTTATTTATACTTGGACTCATGCTGTGCAAAAAGATGACCACCCTGCAATTATCTGTGCAGTTCAGACACTGTGTACATCTGTGGTAATGACTATAAATAAGACCTAACTTGCCGACTAGGCATGGCTCCTCTTTTAGGTAGGCAGTTCTTGCTCAATTAATCTGAAGATAAAATCAAGTCAAAACCAGAGTAGTCTCTGAAGTGAAAAGGGGAAAAAATCAACACACATATACACACTCACACGAACCTACAGGGGCTGCCAACTTCCCTTCATCCACTGTTAACCACACTCTGGAATTAGGTGCCCTGGCTAACGAATGGTACAAATGCTTCTTGAAGTTCAAGTAGTTATTAAAGACTCATCTGTAAATATCAGTTTACATGCCAGGGAACCCGTAGCCCCAAAGGATTGAACATATGTCTGAGGATTTACATTTAAATATGAAAGCAAGAAGAGGAGAGCCAGGAGAAAGGTGGAATGTCAGAGCTTTGCCCTCTTTTTCTGGCTCAGTAGCTAAATCGTCACATGGAATGTCCTGGGAAAAGAGAACCTGGGGAGTCAGGACACATTCCAGTGTTTAGTTTTGAATTCTCCCTCAATTCAAATAAGGCTCTTTTCCTCCTAAGATCAGGCTGATGATTTATGATGCAGGTATCAATTTGGGAAGAGGCAGTCCATGTGTCTATATATAGCATCTCCTCGGGCCATAAATGGGAGGGCGAGACAGGCACTTTGGAGGGAGAAATTAGCTCTGCTTTCTTCAGCCAGAGCTGGGTAGCTTGGCGAGGCGAGTGGCCCAGAGCTCCTCTCTCTCCTCTTGGCCATTTCCATTTCTGTCTGAGTAAGTGTCTTTTTCTTCTTTTCTTTTCTAATATATGGCTTTGAGGGAAGGAATAATAACGCCTGTAAAAGTTGGTGGTATTTACATTTCCTAAGCATACCTGTTTCAGGATAAAGAGTTAACCAGTGTAACCATCACAGACATTCTTGACTATAGAAGAGCAATTAGGTTTGAGATCTCTATTTCTTTGACTAGGTGTTGTGCTCAACTAGCATGTTCTCTGTTCCTCCCAGTCGTGATCTTTATGGTGCTATTCTAACCTCCCTTCAGAGTACTTTGGGTCTTAACCCTGATTTCCCAGCGTTGCCCTGAAGGCCCTGTGTCAGTTGATTGATGCCGGCAATTTTCATGAGATCCTCAGAAAGGATGGGTCCTCTGTGAGGAGAGGACAGATTTGGAAAGGTGCGAAATAAGAAAATGGGCATTTTCTTAAGAAAATAAAAGGAACAAGGGTCATCGAGTTTAGACTTAGATGCTATTATCTAGGGGATGGGGAAGAAAACAATATCTCTTGTCAGGGCTTTCAAGTTTTGGCCTCAGAAATGACAGTTTCCTCATGGTGGTTTTCTGTGATCTTTTTGATGTGTGATGATCCTGTAGACCTCCTGAGCTCAGTTCCACTGGTAGAACCTGTGTGTTCTCCAGCCACACTCTTGAAACTGTGCCTGCCAGAAAGGTTGTCTTGGGGCACTTGGAAGGCAAGGACAGGTAATAAAGAGGATAAGGAGGGTGGTCCTGGCTGGGGAAAGTGAACTTCCTAGTTTGCCTGATTCACCTCCTTTTTTACTGTGTGAAAATAAAGCAGGGGTGAAAGAGCACATGGAGCAAAGATAACTTAGCAGTGTTATTCCATAAATCAAATCGAGTCTCCAATTAAAAACTGCTTTGTGATCCAAAGACTTCATCACTCGGGGTATAGCCTAACTCCATGCCAACTCATTCTTTTTTGCTTCCTCGAGATATGTTTTAATTTGGCATATCTGTTGGCTTTGATATTTTTAGTGGTACGAACCTCAAAACTGAGCCACAGACTCAGAGTTCAGTACAAAGAGCTCTGAAGCAATGTCAGAATATTGTGTCTACAGTAAATTTGCATGAAAGTTACGTTGAATTAGGTACCTTCACCTACGTGCCTGTTCTTTTGTAAAAACAAGAGGACTGAGAGAGAGAGAGAAAGAGAGAAATCACCCCCCAGCAGGATGGCCATACCATAATCCTTCCTCCTCCAGTCTCTTCTTGGGATTTTCAGTACAGATGCACACATGTCTGATGTGATTTTCAAGCTGCTGGGTTTGGGACTTGAACCATACAGCCAGCCATGTAGGATCTAGTGCCTTAACCTCCATGCCACCTATTGGCCTTGGGATAAAGTATTTTGTTAGCCACTTATTTGTTTGTAGAATAGTTTCTCAATTTATGGAAGCATGGAACTCTTTGGGTCAATGGGGAGTTCACGTGTGCCTGAAACTACACATGGTCTAGTATCTCTGTCTAATTTGATATTGTTTAAACATTAGGGGAAAATGTACCAGGGTCCTCAGGTCGCCAAAAAAACTTTGTAGTCCAGAGGAGAGTGAACTAGTAGAAACAACTGCTTAATCACTCATGTAAAGGTTCTCAAAGATTATGTGGAGGAGCACTTAAGAATTTAGCTACCAGAAATTAGACATCAGACCGTAGAGGATTTGTCAACGATGATGCTCTTAAGAACTATTTGAGCTCAGTTATTATTTTTGGTGGGAGGTAGTTTGGAAAAGCCTTTGGAGAAAATTGTTCCCAATGTGAACGAGCTGTCTTGGGAACCAAGGGCTTAGTCACATGGGGTACAGGCCAACCAAATGTGCCAACTCATCCTTCCTCCCCAGGAATGCTTTCATTTGCTGTGTTTACTGACTTGGACAGCTTTCATTGTACAGATGTCAATTTCTTTGATTAAATGGAGGTAAAAACTCTATACTTAAAATATTTTCACAAATGAAACATTTTTCTTGGTGGCATGAAAAGATGGGTTCCAAATGTTCTTCACAGGAAGGGATTAGGGCTGGGCACATCACAGACATACAGTCCCCTGCATTTGAGGACAGGCTCGCGTTTCACTTCGGTGTCATAATTCCTAAACGTGTCAGGAGCATTCTGGGTGCAGCCAGGGAGCTGGAGTGCCATTGAATATGGGCTGGGAGTGGTCAGAAGATTGGGCTGCTGCCCTGGCTCTTTGTGGATGAACCAGTGACCTGGGCACGTTACATTCATTTGGGGACAGTCAGTCCTAATGGGGTAGCAGTGCCTCCAGTGTCATTTACATACAACCATAGAAACCCGCACTGGGAGAGCTGGAAGAATAGTAGTTGCCACCTAGTTTCAGCATGCAGCACACTGAGGCCCCAGGGCTGGAGGTCAATCTAGGTCACAGGGTCCCTGCTAGAAATCAGGCCTTTTGATTCTCTTCACCCCATGGAGCTCATGTCTAAACCTGACCTTTGAGAAAAACCTGTTTTCTTTTATTTAATGGAGGGTATGTGTGTGTATGTATATATATATGAGAGAGAGAGAGAGAGAGAGAGAGAGAGAGAGAGAAGAGAGCGAGCGAGCGCGCACTTAATATATATGAGATAGTTTTTCTTCCTTCCTTCCTTCCTTCCTTCCTTCCTTCCTTCCTTCCTTCCTTCCTTCCTTCCTTCCTTCCCTCCCTCCCTCCCTCCTCTTTTTTTAAGTTTTTTTTTTCCCTCCCCATAGTGTACATGTGCTTGCCAGAGAGAGACAGAGAGAGGGAAAGTTAGGAATCACCCCTCTCAGGGGAGGTGGCCATGCTGCAATCCCTTTTCTCCTGGGATTTGGGGAACGTAAGCACATGTGCCTGCCATGATTTTTAAGCTGCTAGGTCTGGGACTTGAACCATGGTTGGCCATGTGGGAGTCCAGCACTTTAATCACTGTGCTATCTGTTGGTCCTGATAGTTTTCTTAAAACATGAAATCTAAGTAGAAAGTGAAGGGATATCTAAGTCATCCTTACTTCTTTATAGTATAGTACACAGCAGGGCAAGTTTGGGTATATTCTCTCCAGGGTCCCCTTTACTAATGAGTGTCTGTGACCCCAAGGCTGCAGCCACTGAGTACATACTGAGCCAGCAAGGATCATGCTTCTGGAAGATCTCATCTTGTCATGCCTAGGGATGGTAGCTCTAAGCTAGTTCAGGGACAACCAGGAAGTTCTGAAACATGAGGTACATTGAGGAATGTAAGAATTGCTGCAGAGTATACATTGAGAGGCTCAGGCATGGCCCTGCTGGTAGGTCGGGGCTGGGTGTGAGACTGAGAGGAGGCAGGTGGCGTTGAGGGTATGTTGGCAGAGGGAGTCAAATGCACAGAAGACTTGAGCTTGCTACCATCCCTAAGCTGGGAACTCTAACATGTTTCTGTCCTGATCCAGTAGTTCTCTGATTCAGGATGGGGTGGCATATGGCAGGGGCTCCAAATCTTTGTGCAATGAAAGTGAGCAGAACTAAGGGTGGTTGTATTTGTAGAGCCCTTGACATCTGATTTTTAAAAATCTATCCTCTTAGTCACGATTCTTTTGAAGCCGGTACCTCCTAATTTGATGGCCTTGAGTACCATGTTTCATTAAATGAGCCGAGAGTAAATGTAGGAATAGATGCAGTAAACTGCTTTATTACCATCATTCAAAGATGGTTTGGGGAGAAATAGCTACAGTAAGTCTATGAGGAAATGTGTATGCTTGATTCCAGCTCTTCATAGCTAATTGCTACAAAGTATATGCTCTTCACCCTTGAAGTGTTTGCAGATTTCCAGGCCCGCTCAACCACGTGTCACATTAAATCAGTGATACGAGTGCTGATTGTGCACGTGCCATTGGAGAGGACATTCCAAAAGGTAAAAGACAGTAGCTGTTAGCTATGAAGACTTTAGCTAGTCTATATCCCAGTTAAGAAGATGGATCTAATCAAGTGTGGATTATCCTTTTTAGGGATATTAGCAGCCACAGTTTAAAGATTTCAAGGTAGGTTATTCTCTCCTAAGACATAAGCCATGGTTGGATTCTTCCTTTTTCCAAGAAATTTGAAGGGTACTCAACATAAACATAAGTAATATTGTGATGGGATACAACCCCCTGAAATTATTATTACATGTAATATTACATGTAAAAGGGCTGTTTGTGATTTCTGCTGCATTGGAGTCACCTTCCACTAGTGCAGGCTGATCAGAGGTGACATCTCAGAGAAGGAAGTGATTGAAAGTGGTGAAACATCTCCCCTAACATTTGACTTCAATTCAGTGTGCTCTTCCCAGCACCACACAGAGAGACTTCAGAGACAATAAATATCATTATAGGCAGAAAACTTCTGGAAGATACACCTTAACTCATTGGCAAATCCCACTGAGATGCAGCTGAGGATATTTCAAAATATTTAAGTGTTAAATACAGCTTTTAAAGACACCTTAAGAACAACGTGGTAGAGATAGTTATTAATTCTGGAGGTCTCTTACCCCTTACTAAGCACGATGCCATAGATTCAGTATGGGATATCAAATCTGAAGGGATTAGAAGTTAATTCAAGGACACATCGTAGTGCTGGAGTCAGAACTTGATTTTAGGTCTTTTAGCTATCAAAGCCTGGGCACTTAACCTCTTCATTATAATGCTGCCTTCGGAATTAGGGTGTGGTGGAAGAGAGTTTTTATGTGGTCTTCCAGAAGGTGGAACATTTTATTATCTTTTTATATCCAGATCTATGCTAGCACTACTGCAAAAACACAAATTGGGTCCTCAATGGGTGGGTTGGCCAGTTGGTTGAACGGTTGACTTAAAAAAATTTTTAAAAATGTTTTAAACTTTCTTTTTTTATTTAATCATTATGTATCTTTGCAGCATACAAAATAAACATTCCCAGCATGCATACACTGCATATTGGACCGATCAAAGATATTCCCATGTACCGTATTATCAACAGATAATCCTTTATTTTTGCATCGGTTAAATGTTTTGCTTTACTTAGCATTAAATCTTCTGTATTTGCCTACTTTCTATCAAATGTCAGGGTCTATTTTTTTTATTATTGAGTCAGATTTCATAGTGTATATGTGTCAAATCTGACTTCAAAGAGACACACAAAATGTTTTAAACTTTCTTTTTTTATTTAATCATTATGTATCTTTGCAGCATACAAAATAAACATTCCCAGCATGCATACACTGCATATTGGACCGATCAAAGATATTCCCATGTACCGTATTATCAACAGATAATCCTTTATTTTTGCATCGGTTAAATGTTTTGCTTTACTTAGCATTAAATCTTCTGTATTTGCCTACTTTCTATCAAATGTCAGGGTCTATTTTTTTTATTATTGAGTCAGATTTCATAGTGTATATGTGTCAGTTGACTTTTACTTTTTTAAAAAATCATTTATTCTAATTTGTTCATTTTAAAAAATCTGACTTCAAAGAGACACACATACACAGAAAGAGAAGTTGAGAAAGCAAGCCACCAGGTCTGGGACTCGAACTCTGATCAGCTAAGTGGGAGTGTCCAGCGCCTTAACCACTAGCCAGTGTCAGTTGATTTTTAAGAACAAATATTGAGGTATATTAGTGTGGAAAAGAATAAAAATCTCAGCGATATAGCTCTGGGTGGGCTATCCCCTTCTGTGTATTTTTAAGGAAGTCATCTCTCTTCTGTGATTCTTTTTTTTTTCCTCTCCCTGTAATAAAGGTTTTAATAATCCCTAAGAATCTTTCCAAACTCTAATTCTGTGATTCTACAAGATCACAGAATCCAAAAAAAGACATATACTCAAAATATGAGAAGTGAAAGTAAAGATGATTTCCACTTGAGTTATACTTAGCATTGTCTGTTCCAGGCTGGACATTGTCCTCCATGGGAGTGGCATCTTTTGAGGCCATGCCATGGAATCCTACCCAAGGGGTACTTCTTTAAATCATGGCAGATTATTCTAATTTAAGCACAAAACACAACAATAAAGTGCAGGTTTGGAGTTCTGACTCTTATTTGGGATATTAATGTTCACAGAAACTCAGGAATACGGTCTCTACATAACTTTGTAGAGATGATGTAATAACCTTGTGTGTTGGGATCTTATTTATTTTGGGTGAATATGTACAACAAATCACATACCACCTATAATACTTCAAATTCTCAGAGACAAGGATGGATCACAATTATTTTTTCTTTTGGGAGAATTTAACCTGAATTTGCTCATTTCCTGACCTCCCTGAGGCTTTCACGCTGGGCTCAGTTCCTGCTTTCTGACTCATCCCCAGCCAAGCTTGTCTACCATACAATGCATGAGATATGACTTTGAAAGACTGAGTCTAGAAGGCGTCCTGGAGACTGACTCCTCTTTTCAAGCACACTCTCCCGGTTCTAGCAGTGGAATGACAACCTGCTCCTGAGGCTGATACTGGAAGCCTCCATGTGTGGTTACAGTCTTTCCAGAACAGTTTCTCATTACACCCCTTCAAGTGCGGTAGTCTCCCCTTGTCAGTTTTGTCCTTCACGGTTTCAGTTACCCACTGCCAAATGTAGTCTGAAAAAAAAAATGTTTTTTTGAGAAGTTTTTGCTATAGGGCATGTGCGCTTGCCAGAAAGACAGAGACAGAGAGAAAGCAAGAAATCACCCCCTGGGGGATGGCCACACCACCATCCCTTCTCCTCCATTCTCCTCTCAGGATCTCGGGCACGCACGCACACGTGCCTGGCATGAGTTTAAGCTACTGGATCTGGGACTCAAACTGCGGTCAACTACATGGGAGTCCAGCGTCATATCTATTACGCTAACTGCTCGTCCCTTAAATGTCATCTTCTTCATGAGGACTCTCTGTCTTCTACTTCTGTGAGGCTTGCTCTTATTTCTTTTCCCAGAGCATTTTGTATCTTCCCCTCCTCTGCTGATATCTTCCTTTCGCTTTTATTCTAAGTACATGTTTACTTCTCTAATCTGTACTACAATTATTTTTATCCTTCTTAGTCACATTGCTTTTAGCATTGTCCTGAACACACTAGGGATTCTATAAATATTTGTTGAGTTCACAATTAAATAAAACGCTAGCCCGATCTTCATCTTAATGGAAGAAAACAGAAAATGAAATTGAGTCCCTGAGAAGATAAAAGACTTCCTGTCTCATAGTCCAAGATAACTTCCTTTGTATAATCTTGCTTTCATTTTTTCCCCCTTCCAAATTGGGCTTTATTAGTTAAGAGTTGACCTTAAATTTGGAACAATGCAACATACGAATGTGGAAATTTCAGAAGGCGGAGTGCATTTGGAAAGGAGCTCAACACGACTGCTCTTTATTTGCAGGAATACACGAAGATGTCACTTGTAGCGTTGCCTTTCTACCAAAAGAGACACAAACACTATGACCAGTCATATCGTAATATTCAAACAAGATACCTTCTAGGTGAATACGCATCAAAAAAGTAAGTTGATAGTTACTGACTAGACTCATAGAGCTTTGATGGGGATCTGGTATTTGAATGGAGAATACTTTTCCCAATATTCTGAGAGGAGGGTCCCCTGGTTGGGAAGGAGAGCAGAGATGGCAGTATCCCCTGATTCACATGTTCCACACTGGAGGGGATGGGGCTTGTCTGTTGTACCCCAGCATTGGATGGAGCGCCACAAGGTGTCCTGGCAAAGTCTGTGGGCCTGACTTTGAACCCCTGGCTGAGATCATGCAGGCAGGAACTTCTTTTTTTAAAAATTAGTTCATTTTATTTATTATCATTATTACTTTTTCACATGAGTTCACGAGAGAGAGACAGAGAGAGAGAGAGAGAGAAGGAAAGTGAGAAAGTAAGTCGCCAGCTTCAGGACTTGAACCATGGTCAGCCATGTGGAAGTTCAGTGCCTGAAGCACCATGCCACCTGCTGGCCCCAGACAGGAACTCCTTAGTACAAGCTTATTAATTTTATTCTTCCTCGTGTAACTTTCAGAACTAGTAACTAAAAAGTCACCAAAAACAAAGGGGAATGAGAAGGAAAGCAGTGGAAAAGAATGTCAGCCAGAGTAGTTTGTACGTGGCAAAGTAAAGATTAAATGGGAGCCGATGGTAATAGTAATATTTTATTTTGCTACATTAATAATAGATTTACAAAACGTGAATTGTTTCACATCATATTAGGCTGGTGTCCAACACGTTTTCTCTTCCAAGTTTCGAAAGGACAGTCTCCTTAGGGGCCTGCAGCGCTCAGTCCAGCTGACGGTATTTGTGAGGCAGCGTATCTGCAACTTTAATGGGCTGATTAGAAAGTTGTGGTGAAGAATGAAAGAGACCAATGGGCATGGCATTCTCCAGGATTAGGTGCCTGCCACGTGTCACCAACACCCTATATTTAGAAATGCTTATGGTACTTTTATTTAGTTGCCATCCCTCATAACAAACAAAGTCAAACACTCACAGCCCCTCCCAACGGCCTTCGAGAGTTTCAGATCTTTTAAGATATATATAATCATGGCCTTGAGCCAGGAGGAACTGTGGAGGACACTCCCTGGCACTGAGGGAAAATGACACTAGCTTCAGAGGATCTCAGTGAGCTAAAGCCCACATAGATAGAGCATGTGCAGAAGGAGGGTGGACATGGGCACACAGGGACACAGCTGGGGTTTACATATGCATGCAAGCACATGTATATTGCTTATGCAGGTGTGTAGACATGTATGTACCTGTGTGCCTTCATGGCTGTATACATATGTGTGCATGTAGGTATGTATCTGTACGTGTGTATATAAACATGTGATTGTGTGTCTGTGTCTGTGCATGTGTACGTACATGTACGTGTTTGTTTTGTGCACACATGTGCATGCATGTGCATATGTTTGTGCATGTGTTAATGTGTGTGAGTGCTCTGTATGTATGTGTATGTGTTGCAGGGATGAATTAGGGGGTAGACAGAAAGTAATGCTGGTTCTAGCACATCTGATTGTTTTTGATGCTCATCAAGGCGAGCTTCGACCCAGTCGTCTACCCAGAGGTCTCTTACGCAGACGTCATCTTCACAAAAGGCTTCCAGCCAGACATCACTGGGAGGGACCACCTGCCAGATCTGCGCAAAACGAGTGAGCACCCTGGAAGAGGAGCAGCAAGAAAGTAAGAAAAGGTAACCACTCTGTGCCTCACTCAGCCTGTGCCCACAAAGCCAACCACAATATTAAACACATGCCGGCTTGAGGCTAGACCTCAGGATGAAGAGAAAAGCGAACGGTTGTAGCTGCAAAGGAAGTTCAAAGTACAGAGAAAACCATT